AATTTATAAAATATTATATTTTACAATATGATACCAATATGGAATATATTTTATTAATTTAGATAAAAATATATAAATATAAATATTATTTAATTTTATTAAAAAATTAAAATTTAAAAAATTGTTTTGATAATAAAATTAAAAATAAATTAAAATTAGATAAATTATTGTTTCAATAAATTATTAAATCAAAATATTTGACATATAATAATAATATATAATTTAACTATAAAATAAAATTATATTTTTTTAAAAAAAAAATCAAAAAATATATATATATATATATGTGAAAATTAAAAAGTTAGGATGAGTTTGTTTGTTGTGTATATAAACAAGAGATAAACTGATGAGAAAAGTAAAATAATAGTGGAGATATCAAATATGAGTATCTTGATCGTTAATATTCTTATATTTTAAATAAAAAAATTTCAAATCAAAACATTAAACAAACAAACACTAACACAAAAATTCAATATAAAATATTATTTTATTAACATACATTTTTTCTCATACCTAATGTAAAAAAATACATCAAATTAAAAATACAAAACTAACACACTAATCAAATAATTTTAAAATTATTAATTTATTTATGGTTTGTTCACTTTGATTTTTTTCCTACTCATTTTTCCAAAAAATTAATACATCACACATATTTATTATTTTTTTTATTTTCTTTACATAATTCTCTATACCTCACATAAATAAATATCAATTCAAATTATCTCAAAAGACAAACACACTCTTAATATATTATTAATAATATAATTAAAATATAAATAAAATTAATGATTATAAATAGATATATGTATTTCTAATAGTATATTTAAGAGCATTCGTTATAATCTTTATTGCATTATTTTATTTTTTTTATCTCTCTTATTCGCATTATATTTAAATAAAATTCAAATGACTTCTTTTAACATACGTTATAACATTATCACATCCATCCATTATCTTTACAATTTTATAAAATTCATAATAATATTTATTTTTATTATATAATAATATATAAGTAATATTTATTATATAATATTATACTCCCTCCATCCAAAAGTATAGTTTATTATATTAAGCACGAGATTGTAGTTGGTAAAAAGTAAAAATAAATGACCTTTTTGTCCTTGTGAGTATATTAGTGTAAAAAATAGTGGCAATTGTGTAATAATAATGAAAAAGTATGGATAATTTTATGGTGATATAGTTATTTATGGAAATGAGACCATTATTTTGGGACGAACAAAAATAATAAACAAAACTATTGTATTATTAGGACGGAGGGAATATTTTAATTTAAAAATATTAATTTATATAAATTTAAAGAAATATTTTATAATTTTTTCATATTATGAAATTGTTACGTATGAAATTTAGAATTAGGTTAAAAAGCCCAAGGTAAAAGAAAAAATGGGTCTGGTAATAGAGTTGATCGAACTGGCTGAAAGGCACCGTGGGGAACTCAAGGAAAATAGATTAATTTCTAAGGAGGATGCAGGACGGAAAGTCTTCAGGTTGGAAAGTCTTCAGGTCGGAAAGTCCTCAGGTCGGGAAGTCTTCAGGTCGGGAGGTCCTCAGGTTGGGAGGTCAAGTTGGGAGGTCCTCAGGTCGGGAAGTCCTCAGGACAGAAAGTCTGCAGGTCGGAAGGTCCTCAGGTCGGGAGGTCCGCAGGTCGGAAGGTCGGAAGGTCGGGAGGTCCTCAGGTCGGGAGGTCCTCAAGACGGAAAGTCGTCAGGACGGAAAGTCCTTAGGTCGGGAGGTCTGCGATTGGACCAGTAAGTCGGATGGCCTTTAAGTCGGGAGGTCTGCGACTAGACTAGTAAGTCGGATGGTCTTTAGGTCGGGAGGTCTGCGACTAGACCAGTAAGTCAGATGGTCTTTAGGTCGAAAGGTCTGCGACTTGACCAATAAGTCGGATGGTCTTTAGGTCGGGAGGTCTGCGACTGGATCAACAAGTCGGGTGGTCCGCAAGTCGGGAAGATTGGTAGTCGGGCCAATAAGGTGGAAGAGTAGTGTTCGGACCAAAAGGGCGGAAGGTCTGCGGTCGGTCCAAAGAGGCGGATGCTGTTAAGAGTGGAATAGAGTGATAATTGTGGTCTGCTGATGACACGTGTCAGTAGAAGAAGGGTTGGCAGACGGTTGAAAAGGAGACGTTGTAACCGTTCAAGCGACGGTTTCCAGTACAATTTCTCAGGAAATATTTAAGGATTTGGATTTTTCTTTAGAAGGCATCTTCAATCAACTTCAACAAAGCAAAGTCAGATTTGGGGATCACCAGTTTAAATTTCCAGCATTTTATTTTCCAGTTAATTTTTTTATGTACCGTACAGTGTTTAGAGATTCCTAATCTCAGGCACTAATTAATCAAGTTTAAAGATATTTTCCATATCTTTGAATTTTACTTTTTGTTTGTTGAAAAAATACATCAACAGAAATATTAAAATTATTTGACTTGGTGAAATTAGTGGCATTTAAAAATCTAAATGATTGAAATGAACTTGAATTAATACATTGCCCGAAAATTTTCGTTTCCGATAATTTTATTAAAGAGCTAGTTGAAACGAGATTGAATATGAAACTTTAAAAAATTTATATGTTGAAATTGGATATATACAAAAATGATTTGAAAAATATATAGGTAAGTCGTGATTTGTATTTGTATAGATAAATTATTAATAAATTTAAATTTTAAAAAATTTTAAATTTCAAATTTTACGTTATAATTTATTAAATAATTATTTATTTATTATTTTTGTAAATGTAATGAGTTTTTCATAATAATATAAAGGTATTAACTGTGTTGAGTAATAGAGATAACAAATCTCAGTTATAATACAAACCAAAAAATAACGAGAGATAGTGAAAAAAATAATTGTAACATATGCTCTAAATAAATTATTATATTTTTAAGATTCAACAAAGATAGAGTAGTATTTGTTAGGTAGAAAGATATAAAAGTAAATGACATAAATATAATATTGATTTGATCTGATCAACACCTTGTTATATAGGTAATCAATATATATTTATTGTATATTTATAATATAATGTTATATTTCAATTCAATTTATATTATATTATAATTCAACATATATTGTAGTATATATAAATATATATTGGTTATGGATATATGATGATTCTAACTTACCGAATCAACACAAGATCCACAACTAAAAGTGAAAATTGAAATGTAATTGTTGATGCAATTTTTTAACAATAAAAAGTAAAATTCGAAAATAGAAATTATCTTCGAATTTGATAAAATAAATGTCTGAGATTGAGAATCTCTAAGCACCGTACGATACATAAGTAAAATAGGAAAAATAAATACTACAGACTGTAAAAGTAAAATGGTGATCTCCAAAAGAAATTTCACTGAATTTGATGTCGATTGAAGATGCCTTTCAAAACAGATCCAAATCTTTAAATACTCCTTAAAGAAACGTTTGGGAACCGTCGTTTGTTCTATTACAGCAACCGCCGTCAACCGTCCATTAATTCCTCCACCATTGACACGTGTTTTAACTGTTTCACCAACTGCTCCCATCAGTTACAGAATCCAACTGGCTCGACCGACCGCCTCTGGGCACCTTACCTCCTTAAATGGACGGCTGGTCCCGAACAACTACTCAACCGTTTGATCCGCTCGCCTGTTGTAACTTCCCTTAACCGTCTTTTCAAACAGAGTCACTATCCGACTGAGAAACCGTCTGGACCATCCACCGTCTGATCCTATCGAATAATTCAACTATTGACCAACCGACCAATCCAGATACTAACTGGTCGCTAGACCAAACGACTAATCAGTTGCCCACTCGAGCGACTACCATTCGGTCCCTTTAAACAGTTGAACAATCATTCGTCCAAACGATTCATCGGTCGCCCAATCAAGCGACCACCATTCGGTCCCTTCAAACAGCTGAACAACCATTCGTCCAGACGATTCATCGGTCGCCCAATCAAGCGACCACCATCCAGTTTCTTCAAACGGCTGAACAACCGTTCGTCCAGACGATTCATTGGTCGCCCAATCAAGCGACCACCATCCAGTCCCTTCAAACGGCTGAGCAACCGTTCGTCCAGACGATTCATTGGTCGCCCAATCAAGCGACCAACTGACCGCCCTTTCAAGCGACTGAACTACTGTTTGACTAAATGACCAGCCAATCGATCAGTCGATTAATAGATTGCCTAATTAAACGACCAATTAACAGACCTTTCTTCGCCCGACCAATTAACATACCTTTCCTCTTGTCCGACCTCCGTGTCTGCAATCTCATCTTTCTTCACCCAACCAATTAACAGACCTTTCCTCTTGTCCGACCTCCGTGTCTGCTATCTCATATTTTTTCGCCCGACCTCCTTTTGACCGACCTTCGTATCGGCCGTCTCATCTTTCTTCCCCCAACTTCCTTTTGTCCGACCTCTGTATCTGTCATCTCATCTTTCTTCGCCCGACCTTCTTTTATCCGACCTCCGTGTCTGACATCTCATCTTTCTTCGCCCGACTTCCTCTTTTGACCGACCTCCGTATCGGCGGTCTCATCTTAATCACAGGTTTATCCCGAAAAAACTCATTTCTTAATAACACTTGGACCGTTTGACTTATATTCAGACCCATTTTGGATCATTTTGCCATTAACAGACCCATTGAACTATACACCAGTCCACGGCCCTAGGCCCATTTGGAAAACCCTGCACATTGATTTTTTTTAATTCAACATAATAGAAATAAAATTTAAAGTAATAAAGGTACAATAATATGAAAAAAAAATCATTTATTTACGGGATTTTAGAATCCAAGTACTATTTTGTAACCAAGGATTTTTAATTTAATCGTTAGACTGATCGGACTCTATCCATACCCATACCCACACCCATACCCATACCCGACCCGTTGCTGTCCTATTCAATAACAATTTGTTTAGATGAATAAATCCTAACTTTATCCGAATAGTTCAAGAAAATAGTAATAAAAAGTAAAATATAGTAATTGAGAGAATGATATCAACGCCGCCAGTGGCTTGGGTTGCATTTGGGAAGAATAATGGGTTTGGGTTACACAGACACAGATATAGTCACAGTTATTGCAGCAGCAGCAGCGATCGCCGTTTGTTCCCGTCGCTGCAATTCAACCATCCCATCATCGTTCTCTGCCTAACTCTGATTCGGATTCCTTCCTGTCTCGGTCCTCCCGCATGGATCCAGAACAGACCTTTATCCGGGTGCAGGAGCGATTTGCTGAGATGCTCACCCCTAAAATCAGAGCCAAGCTCGAGTACTTTTTCCTCTTCTTGGCGATTACCCTCTTTTGCATTCTCGTCGTTATGCACGCCAATTATGTTCAGCAGGTAATTTCCCGTCCAACCCCTGATGAGATTGAATTATGAACAAATCGTTCTCTACCCCGTGGATTTGGGTTTCATACTGAAATCTAATTATTTCTTCCTCTAATTGAATTTTGAAGCCTGGCTGTTCTAGTGAGTTCTCTAGTGTTCAAATGTCTGACGCCCAGCTTATCCAGATCAAGGTATGTGGTGGTGCATAGATACACTTGTTTTTGTGAAATTTTATATGTGGATTACACTGTCTTACTTTGTTAATCTGTTGAGAATAAACAAAAATTTAACCAGGACTGGTAAACGATCCTTAACACAACTTTTCAATTCATAGAAAAGGGGCACAGAGGCAGAACAATATCAGATAATTAGAGTTTAAGACGAGCAATATATGAATGTTTTTAATCATTTTTGTCCTTCTAGTAAGGAACTCACTAATAATGCAACACGGCCTACGCAACCTTAATTGCCTGACTTTAGGCAATTTACCCAAGCATGCTTGTTTACACGAGGCCTTTTTACATGCTACCAACTCTTCAATACATCAATATGATTGTAGACTTGCAGCTAGAGTGATGTGTCACATTAATCATTCCCATAACAATTACCAACTGATGTAGATAGACTGGAATAATTGATTTAGTTATTCAATTAGCTATGGCTAACTGTTGTGGTGCAATCCTCTGTCTAATTCACTATATTGGCTTGTGCTCACGCAGATCACTAGTGCTGGCTTGTGGTCACATAATGAGACTGTGAATGATGTCATAGATGTTCATGATACTGAAACTCTCACTGAAATTGAAAACCCCGCCAGCGTAGATGGAGATGGTTCGCATCATCTGGCTGCTAAATCATGGTTGAGTTGGGTAAGTTCTGACACAAGGAGGGTGATGTCTCCATTAGAATTTTGGAAGACTGGGAATGAAGTTATGGAATCTGAGCATGAAGTTTCCGTCAGTGGAGAACGATTGAAGCCATCTTCTGAGGATGTGACTGTTAAAGTCAGTAAAGATGCGCGTAGTAGGTTCTTCTTTTCTCCCAAAGAATCTCTAAGAGCGGGAATAATGCATATTGCAAAAAAGTGGCATGGGCGTTTATCTTTCATTCTCAGATTAGTGAGGCAAATACTTGGAGGTTTATGGGTCAGACTCATATTATATCTTTCTTTTATTTCATTTGAATTGATTAATTCAGGCAATTGAAGAAATTAATCGTTTTCTTTTCACTTACCAATTTCAATTAATAAAGCCTTTATTTCATGTAGGACATTTCTGGTATAAATTTCAATTTTGACATTCCCAAGTGGCTACAGATATTACATTTAGACAGTCTCAATCTCTATGCAGGTAACAGTATCCTGACAGGGTTCAATTAATGAGTTTTTGAATATTAGCTTATATTAAATTGGACTCTTGTCAAGATATCTCTAAAGTTCTTATCTGTACTTACGATAAATTCAGTCAAACTAGAGTTTTGTATACATAAGCCTCCATGTCCTTTCTAAAGTGATAAGAGTTGTAAATTAAAGTGCTGCTGCCAGAGGAGCACGCCTAGCTGCCAATCCAGTTCTATTCCTGGATGGCAAAGCGAGGCCCATTTTATATTGGCATTATTAGTATTTTCTAGATGATGCTGGACCCTAAAATAAAGAAGTTGTTACAATTAGCAGGCTATCCTGAGTATATATAAAGAGTATCAAGGTTTACGTCATAATCTAATAGCTATCTTACATTTTGTGTGACAACTGACAACTACAGTTTGGAAGTGAGTGGTTTGCCCTGTGTTGATGGAAATTTTCATTTCCATAATAATAATTTTTTCGTTCTATCATTTTATCATGCATGTTGCTTGAGAGTTTGTGTATTGTCACATAAGTTTTCAGGCTTTTGATAATGAACAACCAGCATGCTGATTCCAACTTTTCGGTTCTTCATGAACAAGGGCAAACTACAATAGCATTTGCTTACGTCTACTGGCTTATTACATAATGCATTTACTCTTTTTTTTTTTAAAAAAAAAAAAAACAATTTCTGATGGCATATTGTTTAGATGAAGGGATTTCATTTGCACTAAACTTCAAATTTTCTGCATTCTATTTACATAAATTTGTGAGTATTTTCATTCATACAATTTATTTAGTGTGAGTCATTGTGATTGATATCAATTATCTGATTCACTTGTAATCTTATTGTGCTTGATGTTAACATTCCAGTGCAGTGGCTTGAAAACAGAAGCAAGGCATTTGAACCTGCTTATTTATATACAATGGAAAAGGTGTGATTTAGTTGTACCATGATTGCTCTTTGTGTAACCTGAGCTCTCCCTTTTTTCTGATGCAAATAATGTCATTGAATTGTTTTTGAGTGTTGTATTTATTTTTAGGGCTACTTCTTGTTGCCTGAGGAAGCTAGATCAAGGCATGGAATTCGTACCATCAACATCAGCATTTCAGCTCGTCACAGCTGCTTTGGAAATAGGTAATATAATGCTCGTCATTTTTTGCTCTCTAGATCATGAGGTTGTCCATTTTACTTGAGATATTTTTGTCTTAAAATGCTTGAGGTCTGTTTGTAAGGTTTTGTAAAATGCTTGTGGATTTGCTTTCTTCTAAAACAGTCACTGAAATTTATGAGATATTATACTTAATTCTTTTGCTGTAATTTGCAGTGTTCAATTAATTGTACAGTTGTGTGGTGACTTTCAGCAACTGATAAGTGATAACATCAACTTAATGTCAGCATGCCACCATACTAGATAATGCATCCATCGGGTCACTCACAATTTGTTGGATATGAGCATCATGTTGGATATGGTGAACATCATGTAGAAAAATAGGGGGAAGGTTATTTTTTTCATTATGAGAGAAAGGAGAATACACAATTAGTATTGGTAGATAATCCATCCAACAAACAAAATCTAATCACAATAATCCTAATTGTATCAAGTCTATCTAAATTATAAATATAGATTAAAATCTAACACTCCTCAACCTGGAGCGTATTAGTCATACGATCCAAGCTTGTTTTAGATGATCTAGGACCTCTTAGGGTTTTTGTTAATGTCTGCAAGTTGATCATCTGAAGACACACATATTTAGTATCTATATATCGAAATAACATTTTCTCCTTTATAAAGTGACAATCTATTTCAATAAGCTTCGTTCACTCATGAAACATTGTGTCTGATGCAATGTGCCATGCTGCTTGGTTATTACGCCACAACTTTATCTTCGCCACCTCACAGAACTAAAAAGTTCACAAAGAAGCTCATATGTAGCTAAGGCCAAAGCAGGAGGCCTTGCCTAATCAAATCTAAATATCCAACAATTTCAAAGTGATCGTGATTTGTATAAAGTAATCTTTTTCTCCTGAAGACTCTTTAATATACCGCAAAATGCACATAAGTCTTTCAATGAGAATTACATGGAGACGGAAGAACTGACTCACCACAATTACGCCAAATGATATATCTTGTCGGATGATAGTGAGGTAACTAAGCTTTCCAGCTAACATTTTATGTTGCCCAGCATTAAGCAAAGGCTCCCCTGTTCAGGAAGCAACTTTCTGTTTGGATCCATAGGAGAATCCACAACGTTATATTCAATCATACCCATTCCTTTTAACATATCAAAAGCATACTCTTTGAGATTGGATAACATTATTCTTTGATTGGGCAATCTCAATTCCTAAGAAGTACTGAAGTGGTCCCAAATCCTTGGTCTGAAAATGATTTTATAGGTGTTCCTTCAACAGACACAGAGTGATGCCATTCATGTCATTCCTAGTGATGATAATATCATCAACATAGACAATCAAGTAAACACATCTTCCTTTAGATTATGCTTAAAATATATGGTATGATCAGATGTACATTATGCTATTCCAAATTCTTGGATAACAAGTTTGAAACGTCAAAATCATGCCCGTTGAGATTGTATCAAGCCATGGAGTGAGTGAGGAAGGCCATTGTGACACCCCGGCCTGCAAGCCCTGCGAAGCCGGGCGGGCTGTCACAGTTGGTATCAGAGCCAACCTACGAAAGCCCGCAGTCGTTGACCGGACTGTTGACGATCCTTGAGGTGCAACGTGGACGTTACATTCTAAAGTGGAGGAGGATGTGATACCCCGGAGTTGGGCCTTAGCTTGGCCAACTCCCGTGTATGGATGAGCCGATATTAGACCATCCGAAGTTGATTAGAGATTCAATTGGTTGAATAGACTACTCATGTCAACAATGTTTACATTTTTTTTTGGGAGCCCTACTAAAAGAACTTTAGAGTTAAGCGTGCTGCCCTAAAGTAATTTGAGGATGGGTGACCCCCTGGAAAGTCTCTGTGCACTTGAGTGAGGACAGAAGCACGCTGTAAGGACTCGTGTAGCTTGTGGGCCGGGGTGTCACAACATACAAGACCAGACTCTCTCTTAGCAGCATAACCAAGCATTTGCTCTGGTGGAGTATCGATCGAGAACCCTGGGCCGGTAGGAGCTGCCGGTATCATTTGAGACGTTGTAGGGACGAGGGTAGCGGCCTTTCAGGCCCTGATCAAGAGAGCGACAAACACTTTTGCCGAGTTTTCTGCGATTTGCACGGGTCTAGACTTAGTGGTGGGTCGAGGCTACTTACCGTTGTGAATCGAGACGTACTCCACCGATTGCACTCCTTGGTATCTTCATCGACCAGACATTGGATGCTTGTGAACTCATAGCATGTATGGCAAGCACACTCCCCGATGTGCGGACCCTCCTTCTGGAGTACATCCCCCGGCGGCTCGAGAATTTCTTAGAGCAGACGAGAGCGGACTCCCGAGTTTCGGGTTCCGGTAGATTCCTCTACTTAATTGATATTGGGACTTACATGCCTTGGTTGATTTTGCTTGTTAGTTTTTTATATTGCCTAGGCTTAGTCTTATAGTTTAGGACATTGACTCTATTGTATTTCTTTAACAAAAACTACGTATGACTTGATCTCGGTTTTTTGACTGAGTACATAGGCAGCTCATTTGAGCGCAGCCAAAAGAAAGGGAAAAAACCAAACATTTGCTCCATATACCTCTTTTCATGGCTCACCATGCAAGAAACATTTTAATGTCTAACGGATGATGGAGCCAACCATGCATAGCCACACCATAGAAAGAAAAAAGCGAACAAAAGACATCTTGGTGAAGGTTTTTGTATAATCTTCTCTATACACTTAGTCAAATCCTTCGTGAGAAGCCAAACTTTGAGACGATCAATGCGACCATCAGGCCCAACCTTGATTGCATAAACCTATCAAGTTACGTGTGTCTTTCTTGGCGGCAGCAGAACCAGCTTCCAAGTAATGCTAGCATGCAAAATAGACATTTCTTCACCATGGTGTAACACCACCCTCAATGACTCGGAACTTCACGCCAAGAGTGTGGAACAAAGACGGAATCTTAAGCAGGAACAACAACACATATGAAAGGATAACAAAGAAAATGATAACCAGGATTTGGATTACGAATGGACTGAGTACCATGACGCAGGGCAACAGTGATAACAAAGAAAATGATAAACAGGATTTGGATTACGAATGGACAAGAGTACCACGACGCAGGGCAACTAGTGATTGTGGAGCCGCAATCAGGAAAGGCAACGGAATCGGAGTTGAGCCATCAATAGATGTAGATGATGGTGAGGGAGGTTTGTACTAACATTTCTATGTATGCTGACTATAAACCTAAAGTGGAGGTTTGAGGGAGAGCCACTGGACTACGAGTCAAAAGTATTGAGAAAGGAGGTGATGAGGAAGATGATTCTGTGAAGCATACTGATGACTCAAAGAATGTGGCATCTGTAGTGTATTAAAATAATATCGACGGGTGAAAAAGGAATAACACAATAATTTTTTGAACCCGGAGTACCTATGGAAAACTCATTCGATAGACCGAGAACATAATTTGTCCAAGCCCAGAGAATAGTCATGAACATAACACTTACAACCATACACACAGAAGGGTAAAGGATATAAAACACATTAAGTTGGAGATAGGTAATGAAAACTTGATGTCCTAGGGCCGTTGATGGAACATGATTAATAAGAATACATGCTGTAAGAATAGTATCTGCCCAAAACTGAAAGGAAAATGTAGCTTAAATTTGCACAGTTAACATACTTATCAGTATTTGCAAGTCAAATTTAGTGGATTATTCTATTCTGGTTCAGTTCCATATTTTGACAGACTGATTCCTTTCCACCCCCTTCAGTACTCTACATTATTTAATTCCCTTTATGCTTGTGAATAGAAATATAAGATAAATTATTTTTGTGTTCAGGTGGCAGCAGCTGCTGATAAACAGGCTTGTAGGATATGACACTATTTTGATGAACAGTTTGTTGAGTTTTCCTGGCCAGGGTATCAGCACGTCTCGGCTTTCAATTTTCATTTCAAGTTGTTCTGTTTAATTTTGGACTATACTTTTTGCATTAAGAAATATGACACTTAGACATATATATATATATATATATAGTTCTTGCATCAGTAATGAAATTTTTTTGCCTTCCCTAACTTGTATATGGCCACGCATTAAAAGTGTGGCAGGTTTTCATTCCATATTAGATCACTCTTCCTCAATCTCTTCTTCGGTTGTGTGTCCTGCGGTTTCATTGTATTCCAAGGATAATACATAAACCATTTATACAATTCATTACTGTAATATATGATTATTTACTTCACACTTAATCTAGTTGAGAGTTAATCAAATTAGATGAGACCTAGGTTCTGTGCATGGATGGTTGCGATTTTCTTTGTTGTTGTTAATAAGTGAAGTTCACTTTATGCAGGTTACCTTTATAACTATCAAACAAAGGAGCTCTATAATCTTACGTATGTTCATGAGCAACCTGAAAGCTCTGCAAAATTTGGAGGTTGAGCATCTCTGCTATATTCTGTTGTACGTTTTATTTATTCCTATCTCCATCTGTTTTGTATGGCCTGCACATCCAATAGATTTATCTGCATTAATCAATGTGTTAGCATTGTTTGGATGAGTGATTTGCAGCAGCTTTCCAATAATTACATCTTTGGCTAAATGCTTTCAAGTTTTAAATCTCTGATGGCTTCAGTACATTGAAGTCCCAATTATTTTGCTAGGTGGTATTCCAGTTGTTAGATTAGGCCCGCCTATATTACTTTGTATTATGTATTTATCTTTGCTAATTCTTTGTATAGGCATAATTATTGAAAATATAGAACATATATTTTAATGGTATTAGAGACATGTTGTTAGGGTTTAGACTACATGCTGTTGAAGTGTTGAGATAGGTTTGTTCATGGTTGCAAATTAGCTGGACATTGACCACGCCACCCTCCCCTATGGTAGTGACTGAGAAGAAATCTCCCTTATTTCTTAGTGATTCTCTGCCTGTTTCGAGTGCCAGCCTCTGACAAGCGCCTGTCTCGTGCATTCCTAACGCCAAGGCGTGCCAGTCGGCATCCCCGCTGCTTGCCTCCACCTATCTGCTAGTTTATCTTTCTGCCGGAAAAATTTCCATTTCCATCCCAGTATTTGAATTTTTGAAACTATTTAAGTTTTTAGGTGATTACACATTTGATGACCTACACGGTTTCTTCAACTATAGATCATGGGCTGCATTATAGGGTTTAAGTTCTAATGTTAAGGGCATTCTGATCATCTGATTGAAATGAAATTGGAAATAGCAAGGTAGCTCAATATGAATGGTTTCCTTATAGTTGATGAACTCTTTGGATTTTACTATATTTTCTATGTATCAGTCATTCAAAACCTATCAGAAAGTTGGACTAAAGGCTGCCTCATTTTATAGCAATGACACTTAGCACTATTATGATATTGTTTCCGACTTTGCGTATTATTACAGTTGTTAACGATTCGAACCTAACAAAATTTTAAGTATTTGTGCTCGTGTTTGTTCGCTAGCATCTGAGTTCGTTTATAGTGTTCAAGCTCAATTCCTTAAGCAATTTTATTGTTGGTGTTGGTGTTCAGTTCGATTAAGTTTGTTTGGGCTCGTTTGAACTCATTTGGATATATATAATATTTTAAGTTATATTCTAATTCATATATATAATATTTTATTTTATTTATTGAGTTTTTAATCAATATTTCAGTATTATAAATATGTCATTTTAACGAACCTTCAAAAACAAGGTTTGGACTCGTTTATTAACAAAGCGAGCTTATTTATATTGTTCGACTCGACTAAGCTTTAAGCCCAACCCAACCAAGTTTACGAACTGCGTGCTTAGTTTAACAACTCTACTTATTTAAGGACCCTTGTTTAGATATCTATGCATGTGAGTAAGTTGAAATCTTGTCAGGAACTTGATTTCGTTATATCTATTAGCTCTACAAATGCATAAAGTGTGTGAGATAAGTTTGTTTTTTGACTCTTGTTAATCTTAGGCCTCAACTTGATTATGTTTGTGATAAGATACTTGGTGGTTCCACTATTTCTACAATGGATGATGTTTTCGTTTGCCTGGTTTTCCTCCATTGGCAATACTTTTGTGGCTACCCCTTTTGTTATTGTAGCTTCTACTAATAGCTCTACCTTAGTTTCTTGGATTCTTGGTTTGGATCATTATAGATGGTGGTGATCGCAGGAGTCATGATTGTATTGGACGCCACTTGCAATGTACATATTGTAATAGTATAGGATAGACTTGGGAACATTGCTATAACTTACATTTGCACCCTCATGCAACAAATGCTATTTATTCAACTGATTTCCTTCTATTTTATTCCATCGTGCTATGCAGTGTCGATTATGTTGTATTTTTTCAGTTCTGGACATCCTAGCAGTTATTCTCTATCAGCTCTACTACCTTATCTGATGCTAATGGTCTTATTTTTGGTATTTCATAATCTTCCTTTCCTTTTGATCTTTTGATCCATGGGTTCTTGATTCTGATGCTTCTGGCCATGTGCCGGGTAATTCCTGGATGTTTGGGGTCTTTTTCGTATAAATATCACTTATGATTTTCAATATTTTGTTACTTGTAGTGATAATTTTCTTGTTGTAATTGAGTTTATATGATGAGATATCAATCTAAATTGTTATCTATATTCTAAAAGTTTGCGAAGTTTGTATACAATTTCATACTTCTATTAAATTTCGCAAACTGGTTGCCAAGCATGATGTCTCCTTGTATCCTCTAAGGGCTTTACTCATGTGTATGGCAAGGGAGATCATATGAAAACTCTCTCTATGGTCTCCAAGATGTTGTCGTCATGAGCTTCAAGAGGAAGTGGACATGAAACAATTGCCTTGTTTTATTTCTCAAGGGAAGTCCAGACTCGCATGTTGTCTTCATTGCCTACTTTATGTGTTAAAACAATCTCCATGGGTGTGGTTTGGATATTTTCCGTTTTTCAAAAATTTTGGATGATACAATGTGTATCGGATCTCATGGCCTTCTATAAGCATGCCCTAGGGGGACAAGACATGTATTTGGTAGTCCACGTCAATGATATTGCCATTATTCCAAATAATGTGAATGACATTACATGGTTGAAGGTGTAATTACAAAACCATTTTTATATTAAGTATTTGGGATCACTTTCTAGGGATTGAGATTTCCCTTGCCCGAATGGTGTTCCGTCATAGCTGAAGTACGCACTTAATATGTTGGAAGGAAAATGTATGGTTTTGTGTAAAGCTGTGAATTGTCCTATGGATCTAATTATGAAGCTAATTCCTAATCAAAGGGGTCATTAGCTAATATGGGACGATATAGAAAATTAGTTAGGAAGCATAATTATTTAATTGTCACCTGACTGACTATCTTGTTAGTGATGTGGCGAGTTAGTTTTTTAAGTCTCCACGTGACTCATTGGAAAGCACTCATGGTACATTAAAGGGTTTCCTACAAAAGATTTATTATATACACAAACCATGGCCACTGTGAGACTGTTATATATTTAGATATTGATTGGACAGACCGCCAGTCGTAGGTGTTCTATCCGAGCTATTGTGTATTTATTGGAGTTAATTTGATATCTTGCAAAAATAATAAATGGAATATAGTTGTTTGTTTTGGTGTCGAAGTTGAGAATCGTGTCATGACCCTAGTACTTTGTGCACTCAAGTTTTCTTTGGGGACAAAGATGAAGTTTTGTGATAATCAAGCAACGGTACATGCTGTTTCAAATATGGTGTTTTATAGCGAACAAAGCATATTCAAATTGACTGTACTTCTTCAGAGAGAAGGTTTTATCTGGTTGTGTGGACACTGAGTATGTGTCTTCAAATAATCAACTTATAAACATATTGATAAAGGCCTTTCGAGGTTCTTGGTCTAAGTTTATATGTAATAAGCTTGGATCGTATGTGCTTTGGCTTGAGAAGAAGTGCTTTATGTCCAATTGATTTTTTAGAGTAGGACGGTTAGATTACTTTATATAATTCTATTTATTTATGTTTATTCTTTGTATAAAGGTGTAATTATTGTGAATACATCTTCTAGAAAATTCACCATATATTTGCACAATGTTTACTTAGTGTTTTAATTTTATTTTTTTTTACATTATTCACAAAAAAGTATCTCTAAAGAAAACATCACATTCAAAACTTAATTTACATTTAATACATTACATCAAAAACTTATTCTTCATTAAAAACATCATATATTTATATTACATCAAATACTTATTTTTTATGCTATTTTTTACTATTCCCAAATCAATCCAAAACTCCAAAAGATATCTAAACACACTAGTTCCTTCTCTGTAGTTATTGTAGTAGTACTAGTTTATATACAATATTTTGACAGGAAGTTACGGTAGTTAGTGGTTCAATTTATTTCACTCTTCAGTTCTCCCATTATATGTTTAGGAGTATGATCCATCCGTATTATGAAACTTAAATTTTCCTTCTCAACACTTAACATGCCATTCAAGATATCATCAAACTTCATAAAAGAGTAATGTAGCTTGTTTATTTTCATGTTTGTAGGTACTGTTTTACAAAATTATACCATTCAATGCATTATATCATCATGTCCAATGATTTTCATGGTTCATAATGGATATATGAGATAACTGGATTTTCCATCTTAATTTGCCTCTTAATATAGATATTGTGCTGCAATTCAAGGGAAATGTTATCATACTGATACTAGTAGACTCTACTAAAGTTCTTTGACTTGAATAAGTGGAGTTTAAGGTCCTTAATTATTGCTATGTAAATGTAGACTATTATGTGAATCAAATGTACACCAGTTTCCGGATTATAAGGGCAATGAAACTCAAATGTTTCTTTGTTTTTTTTTATTTTTTTTATTTTTTTATTTTTTTAAATTGAATGTTTTATGATTCTTTATTGATGCAGATTATCTTGTGACCAAGTGTGGGGTTTTAATGATGTCACTCTTTGTTTTCTTCACAACCACAATGTCAGTTTCATTTACATTGAGAGAGACACAGACTCGGATGCTGAGGTTTACAGGTTGGTATTCAAAGCAGTTGCTATAGGGCTTGATCATCCTCCTCTCGGTGCGGGAAATTACTAAAATATTTACTGTAATCGATTCTAATCATTAATCTGGAACTAGCCTGTAGTATTATGTCAATCAGGTTGTCTCACAATATGATCTCAGCATTAAGATTATATAATTAGAAATAGATATGTGAACGTAGCGCTGTTGCTTATTAGCTAGGCTGAAACTCAAGTGAAAAAGATCCATTTAGCTTATATTTTGATTGCCATATTCTTCTCATGGGAACTTGCAGTTCAGCTTCAGCATCATGCTCGGCATAGGCTTCCCACATTTCAATTGATTTTTGTGCACGTAATTGAATCACTTGTTTTTGTACCGGTAAGTTCCTCATTTCTTATAAATTTCCTTTAATGTCTACTTCTCTTTCTCTTCCCTACTGTTATCTGAATTCATTACTTCACTTTATGATTCCTTTGTGTTTTTCTTTCCAGATAATGATTGGGATCCTGTTTTTCCTCTTTGAGTTTTATGATGATCAGCTATTAGCCTTTATGGTTCTAATTCTTGTCTGGATCTGTGAACTATTCACACTCATCAGGTTCTTTCTCTACCTTGATTACTATTCCCATCCTGATGTTGTCAGACTGCATTCTTCTCCAATTAATTTAATGTCTTTTTCAGTTTATATTGTGGTTGCTCGTGCTTATGGGCTTGAGTGATACTTGACTACTTGTAGATATACCTTAACTCTGGAACTTTGTTCCTGCTTTGATTGCAGTGTCCGCACACCGATATCAATGAAGTTCTTTCCTCGCTTCTTTCTACTGTACTTTCTAGTGTTCCACATATACTTCTTCTCCTATACATACGGTAGTGCAATCTCTAACTATGATGTCCAAATTACCACATGGTCCCTGTTACTATGTTCCTGAAATTCTTCCTTGTGTTCAGGCTTTTCATATCTAGCACTCTCAACCTCGGCAGCATTTATGCAACACCTTATTCTATATTTCTGGAACAGATTTGAGGTATGACATGCTTTCACTATTCCATTGGTGCCTTAGTTGGAAATTGTTTTTATTTCATTGTTGCAGTTTGATTGGGAGTTGGTCGGGGAAAGGTTCCTTATTGGCTTTTTTATTTGCATTTGGAAACTTGCATACATCCAGGACTATAAAATGAAGAATAAAGGATCACATCATTGTTAGACATTGAATGGTTATTTCAATAGAAACAAGTATACAGAAAGGAATTGAGAAGTTGGAATTGCATTCATTTTACTAATTTTTTTATATTATTATTATTATTTTAAAGTTTTGTGTTTTTGTTCCGTACTTTAGATCATGATATTGTTTAGATAAAATTGTTGTTGATGCAATGCTGTGTGAAAAATTAGTGTTAAATATGATATTTTTGGATTAAAAAAAAAATGAATAGTAAAAAAAATGAGGTAAACCTAGACTGGCCTATGAAGTCATACACAAGGATGTGCATTAGTGTTAAAAAAAGGAAGTACGGCATAATCCAACCAACATCATTTGGGAGAAGTCAGTTACTGACTCATCAAGTGGAAGATTCCTTAAGCGCTCTGAACTTGATACCATAAATTTAATGAAGTTTAGTTTTATTGTGGTTGCAATTTTGAAATTTTGGGTTACATCTGAATTAATTTTAGATGTCTGATTTTTTATGATATTGCCTGTCAGGTTCCTGCATTGCAAAGGTTCATGCAAAATCGACGATCGCATTTTCAGCAGCATCCAGATTTTCATATTACATCATCTACCATACTTGCCTCAACGCTACGCATCACAAGATTAAACACAAGGAATTCTGGGGCTGGTTCTGCTGTTAATCCGGATTTAGCATCTGGACCAGTACTTCGACCTGGGGTTGATACCCGAATGCCAAGGAATGTTACGGCTGGATTCCCAGGTACTGAGGAACAACCTTCCCCCAGGCATGAGAATCCTCTTGATATTGGGGGACAACCTATCCTTCGTCAGCCAGAAGCTGGAGGAGGCAGCCCAGGAGCTATGAGTTCATTTAGTTCACTGTTGTTGTGGATTCTTGGTGGCGCTTCCTCCGAGGGCCTCAGCTCATTCCTATCAATATTTAGAGATCTGAGAGATCAAGGTCAAGTTTATACAGAACCTTCGCAGCCGCAGCAGCAGGAGGAAAATCAAATGGTACAAAATGATGAATAATAAATTGCTTGAGAACCAACACCTTGAAAAGGCTGTATTTTGTTGTGTTATATGTAAAGAAACACATGGAGGTGGGAGGTCCGGGGGGTGGGGGGTGGGGGGGGGGGAGGGAATATGGTAATTATAGTCCAATGGAGACAGAGAGAATGGCAAGAAAAGTTATGAGTAGCAACGAGTAGGAATTCAACTGTAGTGAATAGATGATGGTTATTGCACTAGCTTAGCCAGCTACATTATGATGACAACAATGATGATATGTTAGTGCACAAGCTGCATTATCTTATGGGCTTGCTGTGTATGACAGAGAGACAAGCTCAACTCAGGTTTTGCCAAAAGTGTGTTGTTCAAGCTGTTGAAGCCACCTACCGTACGGCAAAAACAAGTCAATTCCAATAATCATTCATTATTTGCTTAATTAAAAAGACAACATTATCCGATCAAAAAGAAAAAGAGAAGAGAATTCATGCATGATTTCTTTTGCTGCTTGTGACTCTCACTCTCTGCGCCCTGCTGCCACTCTCATTTTCATTCTGCATCTCAAGAACAGCAAGCTGCCATGATATAATAATATCATAGCTCTAAAATTCAGTGTCGAAGCATCCCGCCACTATCTTTGAAACCATTGATCTTGCAAATGGAATGTAACTTAGGCTATACCTGTACATGGCAAGTGAGCATCAAGTTTTTCATGCTAAAGCAAGGCAAACTTCAGCGCAAAACCATTTTAACATCTACAAGAAAAGTGCAAATACAAACTAGGAAAACAAGACAATACTGCTTCCATTTCAATAGCATCATGCATGTTAACCACGCCACTGTTTTTTTCTCTGTTTAATAATTATAATAAGAACAAGAGGCAGTTTAATCTAGTATAATGCCTAAAATCACAAGGCAAGTGGGAAACACAGACAAGTTATCAAAAGAATTAAGAACTTCACCAGACACCAGATAAGATCCTTTAGGGGGCTAAGCAAGGAGCTACTGTAGAATAATATTGCTAAAAAAGAATAAATTAAAAGAGTGTCAAGACAGTGTCTTTTCTAATGATTCTCAAATCCAATAATATATCCGAAGAGAATTGTAAGGGTCTTTTGCAAAAAGATCTGAGTACACTACGGGTGTGTTCATTTATGGGACTAACAAAAATCTACTATTCATCAAATTTTTTCCCCCAAAAACATTAAATCAAACACCTATTTTTTATTTTTTTATATTATACTAAAAATCAATTTTTACATTCAAAATATTACATCAACACCTATTTATATCACATCATACGACTATTTCAATTCAAAATTTTTACTATTCAAATCACAACTCAAAATCCAAACCCCCAAACAAACACACCCTACATACATCACTTTGATATTTCAAGTGCTCTTAGCGGACCATTTCAAAAAATTAAAATCCCTCACTGTAATGGGCAGTAGATATTGGGAGAACTGAATTATGAACTATGGCTTCATAATTGCTACTAAAAGCTAGGCAATAGATTTAGTCTTTCATCAATTGGTATGCTTAAAGTTCTGAAATGCTACGAGCAAGTTAAAAACTCACCATACAAGAGCCCCAAACTCCAACACAATTGCCAAAAGTGTCAATAGCTTGTTTTGAACCTACATATTAAGGCAATTTTATCCAGGCAGCATTAAGAAATGTCAAAGGAGACACAGATTCAAAGGATAGGATAATCGTAAAACCACTCACATATTCTGCACAAAAAAGAGCAATTATGATACTGGCCATGTATATTGCTGTTGCATATATGCGAACTGGATCAAGCATCATTGTCAATTGTCTTTTCGGACCAATGAGAAATGCTGTGCTGCCATAGAAAATCTTAAAGTCAGCACATTTAAAATTTATTATTTTATAAGAACAAAAACACAATTTACATTCACAAGTACATACAGACATATTATGTAACACCCCGGCCGGCTCAAACCGGAGTATCACCGCCGCGCCATACCGGAAAGCTCATTCATCAACCAACGGGCCATACGTTATGGCGCTAATGCTAAAATAACTATTACAAAACAACTACTTAGAGATTTAGAATTAAAGCGCACTGACTTATCAATTAAATAAGTAAAGTTCGAGTCAAAAACATAAATAAAAAATATTTCAAAAGGCATTAGTCTTTAAACATAATTAATGAATTTTAAAAGCATTTTAGAAGTTAAAGTAGTTCTAGTTCCCCTGATAGATCATATGACGTGGATGCATCATTTAAGTATAACAGAAACATCATCACCTACAAAAGGATTGTAAGAAGAGGGTCAACACAACGGTTGAGTAAGCACAATTAATCGAAGATAAATTAATACGGTATAATGCCACAAAATCATTTGAAGAAGATAATTGAATAAGCATATCACGAAGAAAACTCCACTAAGCCTTAATCAAGGTCGGCTCGATCCGGTTTTCCAACTTTATTACTTCGTATGACACGTCACACAGTTACACATAACAAGCATAGGGTCACAACCCTCAAGGAAAGCTCCACAATGTGTATCTAAGGGTTTGAAGACCAAAGTACACGTAAATTAATTTATTTATTAGTTTGCGAGGGGCGCCAAACGGCCCACAACCCTATAGTCTCCAATATAACATACCAAGAGGGGATTGTACGCAATCCAACCCTCCACCACGGATGACGGTCAAAATACCTTTTTCATCGTGAATGACGGGTACCTCGGAATCACCCAAAAAGGGATCCCGCCATCTCGATCCCTCGACCTAGCGCATTCGGGTTCTAGTTCGAGGTTAGCTAGTTATCCTAAAATACCGGTATACCCTCACGTGTTTGCAAGGTACAGAGGTAGAAAGCTATGCCTTATCATCCAAACAATCGACGAGTTGATCGAATTCAACGGGTAATTTTAATTACCAATTTGATCCAATACTCAACATGCTCTTAGGAAAATTTCAAAAAGAGTTTCCAATTCAAAAAATTCCAATTTCCATCGTTGAGACAACCAAACAAAAAGTGGAGTATTTAGAAAATCCAACAAAATCATTAATCTTACTTTATTTCGCCACATAAGAAAATATAACTAGGTTAGGGCAAAACTAGGGTTTCAAACCCATTCCACAAATTCTGCGATTTTCAATTTAACAAATAATCTTCACATAAGCCTTAGATGACATTATAATCAATTTTCTAGAAGAAATTGGCAAAACCTAACACTTTTAGGGCAAACTCATTTGACAATAATTTTGAAAAAATATCAATAGAACAATAGATGAGGTCCAGGAATTACAACATATCATCTATCTAAAATTAATCTCACTTACCTTAAGAGAAGAGACCAAAAGGAAGAGTTTTGGAGAAGAAAAATTCCAAGGAAGAAGAAGAGGGGGTTGGCGGCGTGTCTGGCTGCTTTTTTTTTTATTTTATTTTATACTTTATTAAACATAAAAGACTTGGAATCATCCTCTATATATACACAGGCACTCTACCCTGGATACACTATATCTTATCAAATCCACACTTGGATATGATATATCTTAACAAATTACCGATAAAGATATCTAAATCAAGAGATACAGATAAACTAAATCTAGTTTATTATTTATTTTACCCCAAACTCAATTTTGCTCTTAATTTAAAGCCAATTCCTTAATTTCTTACACCAAAAGCCCAAAATAAATTAGGCCTAAAATAATATTGTCCGACTCCGGCGTCGAACTCCGGCAAGTTCCGGCGAACTTCTGGCAAGTATTTTTACGGGGTATTACATATTATGTATATAAGATAAATACCGATGATATACCTGTCTCATTATATCAATAACATAATAAAAGATGTTAATATGCACCACTTAACGATGACATATCATCAAAAAGTAGCGCAGCATATTGGTTTCAAATAACTATTTGATCTCTAATCTCTTCCTCTCCTCATCAAATAGGTTTGTCTTCTGAATTTTGGCCTCAAAATCATTAGACTCAAGGAAACCTGAAATTAGGTCCGGAAGTGATGAGTCATTCCTATTGTTGAAGCGAATGCCCATCCCCATTGGAAATGTACTCTATTACCCCTCATCCCCATCACTACAAATTGGTGCCATACAAAAACAACTTGAAAAGACTTTGAATATTTGATTGGTAAAATTGTTTAAAGGTATGGACTTTTTAAACCACATGCGAGTTATAAACAAATTTGTCTTTTTAAATATTTGATCATTCATGCCCTTTTCTTATGAGTTATTCTTAATAGAAATATTTCAAGTCTAATATTTTATGAATTGCATTCAATTCCACGCTCCAATAGGTTTAGTTTCAACATTCAAGTTTGCGTATAAAGGGTAAAAGAGCTCTCCAAAATGTCAATTCAAGTGGTCCCTTGATTATGATGGTATTGATTTACGTTCCAATTCAAGTGGTCCCTTGCTTAATTAGTTCTTTTCAGTTAGTTAATTATTTTTCATTTGCTTACTTCACCCTTAGGTTATCGCTTAGGTTTTCGATTCCATCATTTTATGTAATTGATCAATTCAATCCACAATATTGTACCAACTGCCATCCACACTTGGTAGACATTGGAAGAAACGCAAATAAATTGCTTTATACCTAAGAAATGAGGGCTAATAGGATGACACCATCCACCAACTGAAATAGTGGGTTTTCACTTAGACGAAAACATGATCAAGCATAGACCTTTGTAACAGGAGCAAATATGGTACAAAACTTTGAAATATTCATGTCTAATGACATACGAATCTGGCTACAAAGGTATGTAACCTTAGTTAAGGAACATACTAATTGAAGTCATAACATGTGATGATTTTAGTGTATCCTTGCACCATGCCAAGACAATTTGCCAATTCACTCTAAACACTAAAAGAAGATGTATTGTCTGGTGTACTATTGAAGCACTTTGGGAGAATCCATTAGCAACCATGCATAATTTGTGCATACAAAACATAGTACTAGCTTGACATCATTTATTCACTCCAACTCTAAAACCTTTGAGTGAAAGAACTTCAATAAAAAAAAAATACATCATATTCTACCTGTTGTCCCCGGAGCCATCTCAGAATGTTTAAAATCCAATCTGACGCATCAAGATTTCTGTATAAAGCACCTATTAGAGATATTCAGTTGTAACTCAAGATTTTCCGGAGCTCCCATCTGCCTCCCAACAGGCTTTCTTGGAGGCATAAATAACTAATTTCACTAATCATTTACAGTTATTGGTTCTATTGAGTTGGAAATTGATTTTGATTTAGAGTGTCCTCTATTTTCAAGAACCTGAAATTTGAGTTAGAAATGTTATATGCATTCTTGATTAAGTTTGGTGACAGTTTGTATTGATTGCTTATTAGAATTTCTACTTTCTACAGGAGAAACCATACAAGATACCGATTCAGGCGAAGTGAAGATTTAAGACATCACATCAAATGTTGCAGACTCAAATAAGGCACTTCTTGATATTCTGGTGTTGAGAGGACGAAATCCAATCGATCAACTAACGAGTTTATAAACTAGTAATGTTGGGGTGTGTTTGTTTGAAGGATTTTGGAGGATTTCTACTATTCATCCAATTTTTTCCCCCAAAAAACATCACATCAAACACCTATTTTTCATTTTTTATATTATACTAAAAATCAATTTTACATTCAAAACATCACATCAAACCCTATTTATATCACATCATACAACTATTCAAATTCAAAATTTTTACTATTCAAATCCCAATCCAAAATCCAAACCCCCAAACAAACACACCCTTGGTTGATTTCTTGTATCCTTGTCAAGCCTATTTTGAGTATCATTTTAAGATATTGGATAGTAATTTTAGGCCTTGATTAATATCTCCTACAGTAGGTTATTGAACCAACCCGCGTTAAAAATCTATGCCATTTACTATCTGCTTGATGCAGCCAAGGTAATTCAGCAACATACCAGCTATGCATGTATAATAGAATTGAGTCTTTTACTCAACAACTCGCTGACAACACTTTATTTGCAGTTGTTATAACTTAAAATTTCTTCAAGGCATTATGGGATACACTCAAAGCTGATCAAATGGAACTCTTTCGGACATTCCTTTTAGATAGTTAGCTTCCATAAGGTATTGGGGATTCTTTCATCACCCATATTCTATAAGAATCAAATCCCTCAGAGATCTCTCAATATAAGTCAATCTCTCTTATTGGCACCCTTTACATATACCTTGCAAAGACTTTGAATATTTGGTTGTGAGATGTTGTACTACCTTACATCATAAATCAACCACAAATTGGTTTCTAAAATGAAAAAAATAATAATAAAAAGGTAGCATATGGTATTCTAAGCAAGCAATTGAGACAATGGAGTTGATATGAACAAGATTATTGAGATAAGAACAATCAAACAATCAAACGGTATCTAACATTTTCCCAATATCCTCCAAGCTCGTTTATTCCAAAATGAAGTAATGATCCTCTAAACCCTAACTACCCCTCTTTAAATATTCCTTACTTTACCTACGTACTAAAAATAAAATAAACCGACTCAAGACAACCCATAACAAAAGATAAGCCCTGCTAAGATATAACAGATTAACAGAAGACTACTACAAAAGACTAATGAAAACCTAAATCCAGAAAAAGCAGACCTAAACTCATCACCATCGCCCATATACAAGTAATGGTCGAGACTCCTCTCACATTTTCATTTCAACCTCGTGCTCTCCTCACTTTCGCTCTATAAATGCTCAAACGCAACAAAGAAGGGTGCTTCGGTCTCAAACTAAGCCTCATAAAGCTTTCGAAAACATAAATTGGACAACATTGCTATCTATCCCAAACAAAATACGATTTGGTAATGAATGGATATCATGGATGTCTAGATGTATATCCTCAGGCACACTCTTCAGTTGTGGTAAATGGTTTCCCAACCCACAGATTAAGGCACCACAAAGATCTTAAGGAGACCCTCTGTCTCCATATCTAATTATTTTTGTTGGAGAAATATTGGGGGCTTGGGGCCAATTACTCAAGAAGGTGAAAAGCATGAGCATAGTAATCACAGTAAAGTATGGTGCCACTGGTCGTCTTTTAGGAGAAGATATTCTGTTAATATTAGAATTAAAGGAGAACACATGAGTAAACAAACCTAAGGTGAAATACTAAGAATTAACTTAGATCTGCTCATAACTAAACTGAAAGATCACCAAGCATTAATGTAACCCTTTACTGGAACAGGGGATGTGCTCAAAGGATCAAGAGGCCAAAAGTGAGTGTAAGTAATCTCTAAGCCAACTAAAGGATTGGCAGCTGAATACACCACTAAAGGCGGGCTTTTAGATGATTCTATCTAAGGTCCCAAGCATAGTGCTGTCGAGTACCTTGATGGAGTCCTCCCACATATGACATTGATAGATCGTAGGGTGAAACGGAAGAGAAATCTTTATTCGAATGAATGAAAGATAACCTACAAAGGAAACCTATTCGCTCGCAACCCAAAATCCAAATTATGACTAAAAAAAAAAGAAATCCAAATTATGACCGTCTACCTTACCATGACCTAGATGGACCTTCTATATGTGGGCCCATGGACTCGATTCATATGAAGTAAAGACTCAATTCATACGAAGCAAAATACTCATAATTCAAAGAACAGAAATAACAAATAAACTAGCAATTCAAAAATAAAATAATAATTAGACAAAGGTCTGCTATTTGATGATTCAATGTTGTGCTATGATCAGACCCAAGTGGGCTTGATCCTTCTTCCCTCTTCTAATGTAGACCTTGACCTTATCCGACCTCATATCAGACATCCCAGTCAAAAAGCCTCCAAGAAGTTTCATATCCCATTTCCAAATGGCCATCTACCAATCTCCAACATCCTGGATAAAACCCACGCTAAAAGAGGTAAAAGAAAAGAAACACCTAACATAGCTTTGAGGCGCTTTGCCAAAGAAGACAATGGATTGTCCCAAAATGGACGATGATTTCCATTACCAATCCAAGAATCATTTTCTTTTCTTGTATAGTGCCCCATGCTTTATGAATGTTGAACCATGGCCTCGAGGAGAGCTTGCTTGACTTTCTACCGCCCAGCCCACTTTGTGAGTAGAGGGTTTAATAGATGTTGGGGGGTGAGATTAAGTCAATTCCACCAAATTTGTTCTTAGAGCATAGGACATTGCAGCTAGAGATGCATTTTTCTATCTGATTCTAAATCACCCCAAATGAAACCACAAAATTTGAGCTACAAGGAAAAGGACATTTTGAGGGATTTGAAAATGGACAGGATACAAAAAGGCAGGCAAGTCAAGACTGACTAAAAAGGTGTAACTCTACCACTGAAAATTAGCATTTTGGCTTTCCAACTACTCAACCTAGTGTCCGTCCAAGATAGGATTCCAAAGTGAAATATTGTTACACTTAGCACCAACAGAGCCCCAAGGTATGTGGGACGTAGATGGCCAACCAAGCAATTGAAAGAAGCCATGGATGAGACCAGGGAATAATGAAGCTTGACTTCCAATAGAGCACTTCTGTAGAAAAAACACCTTGGGGATGGTCACAATCTGAAAGCATTTCAAAATGCGTTGAACTACCATAGGGAATCTGGGTTGGCATCACTCATAACGATTGTGCTGTTTGCAACTTGAAGGTGGGACAAAATAGGCCCTACTTGGCCACAACGGACCCCTTTAAAGAAGCCCGATAATACTGCTTTCTTCAAGAGTACATTAAGGAGCTTTCCCATAATAGATACGCTGATAGAGGCCACCGTAATGGAGGCTTACAAAATGCCAAACGCGCAGAGATAAAAATCCATTGATTATAGAATGAAGGAATTCGTCAAGGGGCACTTTGAAATCCAGGAGATCAATTTGGCACTTAAACCCATTTTGCCCATAATGGAGAGTAATGAAAACTAATTGGCATTGTGAAAAGCTTTCTCAAAATCAAGCTTCAGAATAAATCCCCCGGCCTGCCGTGCTTGACATATTCACTTTGTTAGTAATAAGAACCACATCTGTTGTTTGTTTTCCTCTAAGAAACCCAATATGCTTGTCAATAATAATAGAAGGGAACATATTTGTAAACCTGATAGTAAATGTTGTTGCCAGTACCTATACGAGTCCCTGATGAGCGATATAGGCCTGAAGTGTGGTTACATATGTTGGGCTTGCCATTTTTTCTCAAGGGTGATAGAGTTCCCCATTACCAGAGGAATATAGTTTCTGGAGAAGATTAAAAAAAATCCATAACATAATCCGATTTTAGAAGATCCCAGAAGTTAGTCTATGGGTTATACTACCTAACCGAGTGTCTATGGGCTATATTACCATTTGTTATTCAGAATCGCAGCACGGGATAGCAGCACATGGTAGATGATTGGTACCGAATGTGAGCCTATGGTTTATATTACCTAAATGAGTGTCTTCGCCTAACCTCAACCCTAGCTACCTCTTCTATTGAATCTCCCAAATTGTTCCACCAGTGACTAGGTATCCCAACTTGTCTAAGTAAAAACATCTTTTTTTTAGTATTTTGTCACTATCTTCGTTACCATGTAAGTCCTGTGAGCTTGGAAAACAAATTGATGATTTTTCTCATTGTAATTGGGTTCATTTAATAAAAATTAATTTAGATCATTTACCATATTTAGAAGGTTTCGCTGAACTTCATACGCAATTTCATGTATCTAATAAGATTTCAAGGAGCGATAATAGTAGAAAATATTTTTTTCACCCATTTAATGATTTTATTTCCTCTCATAAAATTTGTCATCAACCATCTTGCCTTTCCACCCAAAACAAAATAAGGCGGTTGTGCTTAAGAAATGTCATTTAATAGAAACAACTTGTACTCTCCTCTTACATTATAATATTGCTTTACAATTTTGGGTCGATGCTCTCTTTACAGTACATTTTCTTATTAATCTTCTTTTGTCTACTACCTTAGGTCATTAGATTCCCTTTACATATCTTCAACTTAATGTGTCATTATATCCTTTCCCTCTCCATGTATTGGTTGGACATGTTCTGTTCATGACCTTTTTCTAGTTTGGACAAGTTACATCTCCATCAATCAAATGTGTTTTCCTTGAGCACTCTCAGGTTTAAAAAGTTATCAATGTTATTTTCCTTTTACTTGTTGATGTTAAGTAGTGCAAATGTGACATTCTTTGAGTTGTTACCATACTTTACAATACGCATCCCTTTTCATCTATTTCCTCAATACTTGTGCCCTCACTCCAATCGTCTTTCTGTCCAACCTTCACTTTAGATTCATAGTCGGCTTACATGCATCATCAGGTTATATCTACCTTACCGTTGCCAACACCTATTGATGACTTAACTCTGGTTCCATTGCTTCCCCGACTGCAGCTCAACAATCACTTGTTGCCCATCGTAGAGGTACTCGGTCCATTGGTAATCCTAAACTTATTTACCATTTTCGTAATTATCATTGTTTACCTTCTTCCATGTGTAGTTTTGTGTCTACTTTAGATCTATTTCTGTTCCCGCTCTTGGCATGAGGCTTTGGGTCATCTAGGGTGGTGTCCAGCTATAGCTAAGGAAATGTTTGCTTTGGTTGCTATTAATACTTGGTGTTGCTCTTACCGTCATGAATGACGCCTATAGCTTGTCTATGGGTCTATAAAGTCAAGGCTGGCTTTAAGCTCACTCTATGATTTGAAACAATCTCCATGGGCATGAGTTGGACATTTCTGTCTTGTTATCCAAGCATTTGGGAGGGCACAATGTTCATTTGATCACACCATATTTGTATTTATAACAGACCTCTAAAGGACATTTTGTTTACTTGGTTGTCTATGTTAATGAGATTGTTTTAACTGGGGATAATATAGAAGACACAACATGGTTGAAGGAGCATTTGCATAACCATTTTCAGACAAAAGATTTGGAACCACTAAAGTATTTTTAGGATTCGAGATTGATTAGTCAAATAATGGTGTTATACTATCGCAACAAAAAAATGGCATGAATGAATGTAAAACTGTGGATTGTCCTATGTATCCTAGTACAAAGTTGTTACCTGGATAGGGACAACCCTTAACTGTTGTTTGATGATATAGGTCAGCTAGGAAAATCAACTATCTAAATGTCACCCGACCAGATATATCATCTATGGTACGTATGGTAAGTCAGTCCTTCAATCCCCTTAGGGCTCCCACTGGAAAGCACTAATGTGCATTTTGCCTCAACCCTGGTGTTTCATGAATGAATGGAACATATTTAATTAGATTGTCACTTATCAGGGAAAACGTATCATCTGCATGAATGAACACCGAATATGTGTCTTGAAATGATCAACTTGCAGATTTATTAACAACAACCCTTAAAGATTCTAAATTCGAGTTCATCTACAACAAGCTTCAATCGTATGGCTTGTGCATTTCAACTTGAGGGAGAGTGTTAGATTCATATCCCTGATTATTTGGTTATATAATGTAGATAGATTCATATCTAGATATAGTTAGGATTATTATGATTGGATAGCTTTTCTTCTACAAAATGGAAAGGAGATTTAATTATTGAATTGTTACTTTTAAAATTCAGTAGCACAAATCAACTGTAAGCCTAACCAATGCAATAGATCTCAGGATATAGTAGAAACTAGATTGAAATCCAGGAATAGAGCTTTATTTTATAAATATGTGATTGTACAAAGCTAAGCCTTTTTTTAATAGTTGATAGAGCTTGTTTAAAACAGGAATACTGCATTGGATAATGTTCTAAGAAATAACAATTAGCTTGAAGCCTTGAATTTATGACCCAACAACAAACCTTCCAAGAGCAAGCACATTGCCAAAGGAGAATGTTATCCCAAATTTGATAGGATGGAAGAAAACAAGCATTGACTGTCAATCAAAAGTGAGAAACAAAAAGGTCAATCCAGTTTCTATAGATTTGATCAGCATGTTATCAAATTAGAAAGCAATGATATTTGAAGTGAAAAATGCAGAACTTCCAAACATAACAAGGAAAAAAAAAAAAAGAACAAATAATGGCATCATCATCATGATCAATCAAAGAAAGATAGGAAAATATGTTACCATGAGTGTGCAAGTTATACCCGCGGCTAAGCAAATTGCAAACCCATACAGTCTCTGTCAGAGGAGTAGGATCTTATTATGAAAGATTATCACATAAAGAAGAAATTACGGCTCAAAGAAACACAAGAAGCACAGCAGTACTACCCATCACCGCACATGTAAGGCAAAGATATGGTAAAGAAAATTTTGAAAGCAGTATAATGTTAATCCATCCAAATGTATCTCTGTTATATATATAATTCAACCCATTATGAAAGGTCAGCTGGTGCGCCACAGTAAACTCCTCAGCAAGAATCCCTAAACCTCAAAAATTCCCTGCAAACTGAAATTTAATGCCGATACAAACGAATGGAAGCAGCTACATTCAAATGTCATAATTTTAACTCGCAGACGTTTCCGTTGTCCTCGTACCCAGGATCTTATGTTTCTTCCTATGAAATCTAGCATGGAGTTTATTGAAACCAATATCGATAGATTGCTAAACAAACAGATTGCCACTCCAGTTGAAAAGGCAACAGAATAAAGCCCTTTCGATTGAGTACCTGCTTTGTTGATAAAGTGCAATTGCGATTGAAATCATCGAGGAAGGAAGGTTCTGGCTGCTCTTCTTCATCTCCAACCTCCATTCCCACCAGCATTTTCATCTTCTCAAAGGCCTGGTTCATCCTGTCCATTTTCTATTATACGAAGCCCTAGATCTTACTGATAGTTTCTGGTAGATGTGATCTGAGATTCATAAGCATGGAGGAGGAGTGAGGCTAAGCGGGTACGAACCGACCACCGACCACCAACCACTGTGGAAGCAGACGCGGGCAAGACTAGGAAGAAGAGCTTTAACGCATTGGTACAGCGAAATGGAAGATTTCTCATATACAAGTAAACGAAGAGAAATAAATAATGGGTAAAATTGGTTAATAACTACAAGTTGATTGAAAATTCGTTGTAAAATTTCTCTTTGAACCTTTTTTGTATGGCTAGGACTTTATACAATATTTTTTTAAAATATAAGTACCACCAAACAATTTTTAAAGTAAAATAAAAATTTATATTGAGTTTCGAAATTACAAAGAGATTTTATTCAATATTTTTTTTCTTGTTGTAAAATATAAGGAGCTCTAAACAATCTTTAAAATAAAATGAGAATTTACATTGAGTTTTGAAATAAAAAAAAAAAAAAAAAAAAAGAAGTTTCACGTAACATTTTTTCATGACGTATGAACCTGCCGCCGCTACCCCAAAGTGTTTACACAACATTTTTTTAAAGTATAAGGAAACATTATCCAATTTTTAATGTAAATGAGAGATTTACAGTTTCGAAATCATAAAGGAATTGTGGATAATTTTGCTTAAATAATGATACATGATGTGTTTGTTTTTTGGTGGCGGATCTTGTGTTGATATGTGCATCCACCACCACCGTGCTGATAGAATGTGAACAGTGCATCGCAATAGATAAAAATTGGATAATTTAGATTAAATAGGGGTAGGATTGTCATTTTAAGTATAAAAAATTACTAGGTGAGTTTGTAACTTTCCCCTCTTACTGTTTCAATCGTCTTTCAATCGTTTAAGGTAAATTCATTCTTTCATTTGTCTTCTTAAAATCATTTTCTTAAACAATTCACCGCCTTCTTGATAGCTTGCTTATTAATTTCAATTTAATTAAACTCAAATCGTTCTTTCTGTATACTCCTACTTTCTCTTTTCCCTTCCTCTTTCTCTCTCGCAATCTATCAAACCGCGTCGGCAATTGCCACTGTCCATTTGTGGTAGCGCTCCCCCAGCCCTAGCAACCACTACCATATTCTTCTTCTTCCCCATCTTCTTTTTCTTATCTATCTATCTCTTTCTCTCTTTGTTCTTTTTCCTCTGACTAGTTGACCACCACTTGCCCTTACCGCTACCGACAACCTCCGTTCTTCCGCCGATCCAGGACCTACCGTTAGGGGTGGAAATAGGCCAGGCCAGGCCAGGCTTTGGTTAAATAGGCTTGGCCTGTCTTAAAAAGATATGGCCTGAGCCTGGCCTACCAGCCTGAAAAAAAATATTTTTAAAGCCTGAGCCTGGCCTTTTTAAAAGCCTGGCCTGGCCTACGAGCCTGTTTAAAAGGCTACATAATAATTTATTATTATTATTATTTTTTTTTTTTTTTGTAAATTTCGTACTATAAATAAAAAATAAAACAGATACAATTATTTATATTATATATAAAAAAAATAAAAAATTCTGTTTTTTAATGACAAAAATAATCATTTTTATTGCCATATAAAAATACAATATGTGTGCACAACATCTAACATGAAATAGAGCTCCATCGAGGACAAGCTTGGTGCTGCGTGATATGTAGTCTTTTAGATACCTCAAGCACGAGTCATTATATGAAGCATTGTCAACTGATACTGAGAACACTTTATCTTCGATCCCCCAAGCCTTCAAACATTTGAAAATGGCATTGGCTACATCAATTCCTCGCCTTGGAGCAGGCACCTTGACAAAGCTTAAAATCCTTTTCTGAAGCTTCCACCCAGAATCTATAAAATGACCAGTGATTACCATATATTCAATCACTTGATGACTGGATTTCCACATATCTGTTGTCAAGCTAATCTTGCTCACACTCTTTAATAATTCCTTCAATGCTTTTCTTTCTGCTTCATATATTGCTATGCAATCACTTCGTATCGTCTTACGAGAAACTTTCTGAAATTCAGGGTTCGCATACTGAAATGACCATATAAAAGCATCGTCTTCTACAATGCTAAAAGGATACTCATGTACCATAATAGAAGTGGCAATGACTTCTCTCATCTTTTCATTAGAAAATCTAAACCCCGGACTTATAAACGGATTACTTGAATTGGATGGCTTAAAAGGAATGACACATTGTTTCTTTTGTGAAGCCATTTGTACTGACCTCTGCAAACACCCTTCTGAATGTCTCTTTAGATGGCTTGTGCTCGCACCTCTTCCCCCAGTAGCAAATGCATTTTTACAGTATTTGCAAATAGCTTTCTTAACACCTTCAGCAACTTGAATTTCATCAAAGTCATTCTACACAATTGAAGTTTTTTTCCTTTTTTTCCTATTGGCACCTTCATTTGCTTGATTTGAATTCCTTTCGTCTTCATTTCTGTTATCATCCACAGGTTGGCTTGAAAGGGAATCCACTGATATACTATTGTGTGTATCAGATGGAAGATCAAAAATATTTGTTTCATCCATCGAAGCCATATCCTGCTTCAAAATAAATAAAAAAATTTATTTAATTAATGATATACATTATAAACGAAAATATCAGAAACTGTTCATTCTTGTAAATATATATCTTATATTTTTCTACAAAAATATAAAATTTTCATTTTAATCTAAATAATATAAAATACAAAAATAAAAATAACAAAACTATTTTAAAAAAATGACGTTATAAAAAACAAAAAAAACGTCATAAAAAAATATATAAGATAAATAAAATATAACAAAAAAACAAAAAATATATATATTGAAATTCATATCTAAATAAAAATAACGAAAAAAAACATATAAAAACGATATTTACCTTATTTTTCCAAATTCCACCGGTAGCAATAAAAAAGAAGAGGCGATGAAGACAGAAGAAGGAAAAAGAAAAGTAGTGGGTCTCTGTGAAGAAGATTGCAAAACCCTGGACGGCGTGGAGGTCTGGCAGCAGTTGCAGGCTTGCAGCGGTGGAAAAGGAATATGGACAGTTGTTGTTCAGTTTACAGCGGGATAATATTTGAATTATGATAAAAGAAACAAAAAAAGGAACATGTGTGCAGTAGTTGTTCATATTTGAAATTTTTTATTGGGATAAAAATTATTTTTATTTTTGTTTTTTTTTAATAAATTTATAATTAAAATTTTTTTTTTTATATATCATTATTATATATAAAACTATTCTTATTTTATAATAATAAAAAATAATTTTATATAATAATAATATTATTATTAAACAGGCCGGCCTGTTTAGTAAATAGGCTTTTTCATAAGCCTAAGCCTATTCTGTATATATAAACAGGCTTTAACAAAAATCTGAACCTGGCCTTTCTAATAAATAGAACAGGCCAGGCCAGGCTTGATGTAGGCCAGGTCATAGGCCCCTGACAGGCCGTCTGGCCTATTTCCACCCCTACCTACCGTGAACCACCACCGTCGACCAATCGATCTTTCGCGAACCCAAGTTTATTCTGGCATTTTCATAGTCAGGCATTTTGATGCTTCTTTTCTATTTAGATACTAGTTTAAGTCAGTATTCTATATCAATTATACTCGTTTTTTTTTTTTTTTTTTTGGCAAGAAATTTAAATTCAATTGCAAGTCCATTAATACCTATAAATAAATGGTGAAGGCTTCGAGTTCCAAGGATCCTATTATCCAACTCTTCTGCATCCCTAGGAAAGATGTTATTTCCAGATCTATGGTGGGATGCCCAGTACGCAGTCGAATTGCCACCCCATGTTATGCAACCTCATATCCACAGTTGTGGAATTTTCTCAATATTTTACATGGAAAATTGGCCCCTTGACTTGAATGGGAGAGTGTGTGAGCAAATTGGCAAGCGTCAATTTATGGTTAGATTGTAGAAGAAGCATTGTGTTCAAATCTTATTGCAGGAGGAGAATCGAAACATCGGGTATGTAAAAGAGAGGTCAAAGCTTGCTGCTAGTGCAAAGATCGCATCGAAGAAGATGAAAATGCGGATACTCTAATAAGGAAACCTCGTATTAAGATGAGCGCAAAAAAAATACATTTTTGGGCGAGTTCGAGGGCGAGGTCGGGGCGAACAAAAAATTGACTGCGATGATTGATGGACTGTTGATTTTGATTAATTGAATTTGGATGGATTGTTGGTGTTGATTGATTGATTGAATTGGTTTCTAGTTTTAACATGTGGCTTGAATTGGTTGTTGGATTTAGCTGATGGATTGAATCGATTGTTTGGATCATGTAACATGCAATTTAGGTGTTGTTATTTCTTATTTGATAAGTTTTGGTGAATAACATATCTAGAGTGTCTATTTGTAACAATTTCTACGTAACACTCATGTTGTTGGTTAGTACAAGATATATTTATTGATGTTCAGCAAAATGCTTGATTCAATAATACAAATGTTTATTTATCTTTTTATGTTTGTGTTAATAGGTTTATGGTGGAAAGTATTTTTTTTTTTCTGTGTGTGTGTTGATAGGTTTTCGAAAGGATGTTTTAATTGTCTTTTTTGTGGCATTTTCTGGATCACAAATTTGATAGTACATTAGCATGTTAAACACATTAAATGAAGATGCTTATTGGTATTCAGTAAAATGCTTGATTCACTGTATACAAATGCTTATCCATCACTTTTATGTTTGTGTTAAAGGTTTTGGATAGAAAACATGTTTTTTTTTTTTTTTTTTTTTTGTGTTAATAGGTTTTCTAAAGGATGTTTTGATTGTCTTTTTTGGGGTATTTTTTGGATCATAATATTTGATAGTACAATAACATGCTAAACACAGTAAACGAATATGCTTATTAGTATTCAGTAAAATGTTTGATTCAATATATAACAAATGCTTATTATTTGTATTTGCAATGATTAAATATGATTCATCAATATTATGGTTGAGTACAAGCATGTGCTTGTGTTTTATAGGACGTAGATCATGATTGTAGTTTTCTTGAAAGTATGTCACTTTGTATCTTTCATTTTCCTTGTTGATTTGAAGTTGTATATTTGAATTACAGTTTGTTCTCGTCTCATCATTACGATGCATAGTCTTGATTTTTTCTAACTTGTTGTATTCTTTTGGATGAATTCCAGGATGATCAGCCTCGTATTGCTGCTTTTTTTTTTTATCCCCGTT